CCAGAATGTATTGGGTATACACCCTTGGATGTTTCCCTTTAGGACACGTTTTATCTCAATCAAAATTGATGTTGTAATAATTACTAAGTATTAATAACGATAGTAATAATAATAGTGATAGCGATAGCGATAGTGATAATAATAGTAATAACCTTATAATTTAGGCCAAAAAAATGCCTTGTGTTGCCCTCCGCGACCGACCAAAGTTTTAGAAAAAAAAATTGGGTTGGCATTTTTTTTTTAATTACCCTATTTTTTTTATATTTTGTTCAAGTAAAAATTGTTCAAATACCACTTCCAAAATTAACATTTAGAACATAAAATCTAAAACAGACATGTAGGCTTATTTTTATCAAAATCGGGCCATACCGGTATGTATGCGTAAAATAGAAGGCATAATTTTGAGAACCGAACGCTATGACGATATATGCACAACATCGGATCTCTCGCGCTGAGCTGTCAAGCCACGACTGATCTAGGCCTAACCTATTCTTTACCACTGTACTCAACCAGTGGTTCCTTGAATAAAAAATCCGCATACCTTACGGTATATTGGACAATAAATAAAAAACAGGCTTAGGTCTATAGCCATTGCTTTAAAACCTGTACAATTGGACATTTTCGTCTCCGCCACGGTTTTAGGTAAACCATCAACGAAATATCTTTCTCTTTTTTTCTCGAAGTTTACTTCGATTATATTGCAGTACATAGAGGGCGCTTGTTTAGACATTTTTCATAACCACAGTATGGTTTTGCTCGACCTGCCCGTGCGTGATCGTAGTGCGTGATCGTGTGGATCGGATACGCATAGGCCTATTATTTTACATTTCGAAGCCAAATAAATCTTTCTTTAAACTGATTTATTTTTGTTAAAATGTATTTCAATATACACTTGGTTAGTATTTATTCCGTCATTACTTTGAATTTTATTGTTTGGCAAGCTTAAGCCCTCGTTCTATTGTGGTGTCTTCGAGCTACGAGCCCTTAGGCCTAGGCATGGACGTCGATCGGTAGGGGACAGGGGGACACGTCCCCCACTTTTCAAAGTAGGAGGGTGGACATCATATCGATTGTCCCCCCCCCCTCCACTTTTCACAAATCTTCTATAATTAAAACCCCTCTATAAAATCGAATTGAAAGAATAACAATTACGCATGACTCATGAATTTTGTCTGTTCAGTTTTCCAAGTGCAGTACGTATTTTTCGGACCAAAACCGAGTAAAAACGCAATTGTTTATACATTTTGTAACCATCACAGAAACCACTAGGTCGATTTTATGGGTGCAGCGGTTATCAGAGGCTAAATTTATTGTGAAAACAATGTACTGAACGTTGTTAAAATTGGAAGCGTGTATGCTTATTAGGCCAATATTTTTACAAACTCAAAAGTGCACAATTTCTACTATAAACGATTTATTCCTTTTGTATATTATTATGACCCGTACGTATATAAAAGTTTTTAATATTATCTACATACATATAGGATTACTGTTTTTCCTAATTTCAAAAAAATATAGTTAGTAAATTGAATTTTATATAGCCATTATTAAATAATAATTATACAGCCTTTGGTGAGTCGAATGGCCGAGCGGTTAGCGCAGGGGCGCCGCAAGCTATAACCATAATATCGGCACTGGTTCGAACGGCACGCTCGAATATGGTTCTGGTGGTAGAACAAGTCTTCGCGGATAAGGACTATAAACCGTAGGCCCAGTGTATACAATGGCTCGTGCGCACTATAAAGAATCCAGCATATCCTTCGAGACGAGTAGGGGGATACCCCGGTGTACTGGAACAGACAGCCCCTGTGGTGGACGACGAGAGTTGCTGGTACCGGGTAACCGGGTAGCACAGGCACAAAGGGAACTTTAGGGACGAAGAAAGTCATTGATCGAGTTCCTAGTCCACATACAAGCGCCCTGAGCATCTTACATTAGATGGATACGTGCGCTATATGAAACTACACTATTATTACTATTATTATTATTATATTTGACACGGACATGTCTATCTATTTCGATTTAGTGATACCAAAATTTTGCAACAGTTACGTTGACGCAATCTCACAATGACGTCATAATAATCAGTAGTGGATTCAAGTGGGGCCGAGCCGACACTAAATTTTTCAAAATTATTTTTTAAAAATTGAAAAATCAAAGGAAAATTATAATTAGAATTAAGGTCTGAGAGTGCCATTTCCGGCAATCTAGGTGTCATAATCATAAATTTTCTTTCCTCAGCCCCAACCATACCATTTTGTGTACTCCCTATCCCCCTAGTCCTGTTTAATCGTAAATTATACGGTATTACTTCCACTCACAATAGTGTAGTCGAAATACTGCTTACACAAAAGTGAAATTCAAAAAGTGGAGAAAAGCAAAAACCTCTTAATTGATTTTAAAAGTACGTGCAAAAAGACTAAATTGATGACTGTTTTAGGTTTGTTATTTGTTTTTCATGGTTTAAATAAGTAGATAAGAAATCATTATTTTTTATGAATGTTTTTGCACGAAATATATAAGCGGGCATAATTATGACTAAAAGGATAATTTTAAAAACTTTTATGATGAGTTTTTCAGTAGCAGATTCAAGGGGCCCAAGCCGGCCCACCATCCCTATTTTTTTTTTTTACTAAAAGTGGAGAAAAATGAAAGTTATATTCAAATTCAGTCAGAGAGTTCCGACCAAAAGAGGTGTCATAATCATAAATTGTCTTACCTCAGTCCCAAGCATGGTGGGGCTGAGGTGGTCTACACTCTCCATTTGTGAAAGTCCCTCTCACAAAGCATGGTGGGCTGAGGTGGTCTACACTCTCCATCTGTGAAAGTCCCTCTCTGGGCCCAGTTCTAATTTAAATTGCTGGATCCGCCACTGGATTTTGTAAATTTCGTATGGAAATAAATGTTAATTGCATTGCTTAGAATCGTTTAAAAGGCTATAGGCGCCAGAGCTTCCGGGTGCTTCGCCCCCTGGTCCCAAACCAAGGCTTGGGCCTACGGCTTTACTTTTCATTTCGTTCCCCCCCCCCCACTTTTAACCACGGATCGACGCCCTTGGGCCTAGTGTCTTCATAATAGGGACTGCAGTTTCAGGCCTATCCTATTTCAGGTATTACTAAAAAACAAAACAACAAAAACAAAAACAAATCCGACTGACCGACGATCTTGATTTTTTTTTCATTTAAAGGCAACACAACAATTTCTTTTGTCGTAATATAGAGCATTACTTTAGCTCTATTATTATATTCGGTTAAATATAATAGTAGATAGACGATACCATACCTGTTGAAAGTTAATTGGTGATCCCTGTTCAATACACACTTCGACGGCTCTTTGGGAGCCGCTGTTGACCGCAGCATGTAGAGCTGTATTACCTTCCTTGTCGGTGAATGAAAACAATATGTTTCTCGAATATCCACACTTTTCCGCTGTTGATCAATCAATGAATCAATTTACAAATCAGTTAGTGACTTATTCAGTCAACAGTTGGTAAGCCAATGATTAAATGAATCAGTAAATCAATGTACCAGTGAATCAGTGAATCAATGAATCAGTGAAACAATGAATCAATTAAACAATAACTTAAACAATAACCCAATGAATGAATCATTGAATCAATTTTTACTCATCATAACTCAATTATCTCCTTTACCTATAACGAACCTACCAACCAACACACGCATTTTACTATATATATTTAGCTTCTCCTTCTTAACAATTCTCTATTTTTAGTATCTCAATATACACTATTTAATTGTATCATACTAGTCGCCCTCATCTCACTGAACCATACACCGCATTCCATGTTCATTTAACATCATTCAATTACTGTACTTCCCACATAAAATTCCGTAACTGGTAAAGGTACTGTACTGGCATAGGTATTAATAATGTGCCTTTTCCTTGAGGTTATAAAACGCAGTTCTTTTCCCTTGTCATTGGGTCCATGTGTTGCTGCTAGTAATCAGCGCAGGGGCAGGCAACCCAACCAGGTACCCATTTTTATTCCTGGGTAGAGAAAAGTGATGCAGATAAAGTGCCTTGTCCGAGGACACAAGCGAAATGCACAGCGAGGGATTGAAACCCCGAACTCGAGGTTCGGAAACCGTACCAAACTGTTCCCGCTGCGCCAAACCAATTCCAAAACATTTCGAGTAATGCTTTTTTTTTTTCAAATTTAACCTATAGTAGGTGGAATAAAAACACCATAACCAATTTTTGTGAGATTAGGCCTAATCATAATTGCGAAGCGAAAAGCTCTTCTTCAAATAAATTCAAATGTTTAACATAATAAAAGGCTAAATAGTGAGGTGTTGTTGAATAACCTGGTGGTTAAGATGCTTGCCTTCAATCCCAATGTAATGGGTTCAATTCCTGTCAAGGTAACAGGATTGATTTTCTCACGTTCAAAATACGCTCAACCCCCTAAGCTTCATAATGAGACTTATGTAAGGCATCATGTGTTTATGTTTATATAGTGAAAGAATATGCCAGAAAGGTGATCGAGTTCGCTGTTTGGCATATCTTTGATATTCAGCCTAAAAAATTCAAATAAATAAATAAAAAGTTAATAAATAAAGATAATGCAGCATAGTTATACACACAGGCATATTTAATCTAAATAAGACGCATTGATTAAAATTAATGGTCATGTTGAACATTATAATATTACTAGAGAACATGTATAAGAAGATAATGTAATAAACAATGCAATGTTCTACAAACACGGTGTTACTCGGTCATGTGATTTGACAGTACATACAAAATCAATAAACAATTAAATTGATGTCACAAATAGCAAAACAATGACAGTGTATTATTGAGAAGATATTGAGGTTAATTCCTCTAAAACATTACTAGAATCCATTAGCCTGACTTCTATTGAAGTCTACAAGACTCATGTACAAGTACCAGCTGGATTCAATTGACAGACATTCAATTAAAATCAATTTACATAGTTTTATGCTTACTTGAATTTCTCACAATACATATGAATTGGTTGGATAATGATTTTATTATTAATGATGTTTGATACTTAATATGCACCAAGTAGATAAAGTTACCTTTTTCAAGCAGAATGCCAAGAACATTTTTTGACCCATTAGTGGCTGCACAATGGACTGAAAAAGCGCCATTTGAATCTTTAATACACATCATGGGCTTGAAATCTAGCTAAAGAAATAATTGAAAGTTTCATAGTTATATATTAGAAAGGGCAAATGCTTCACATTCGGCGATCAATATCAACTATCATTAGTAAATGCTTTCAGATAGATTTGGTGCCAAGACGACGCGGAAGGTAAATTGTAAAGGACACATTTATAAATCAGTTTTCATCAATTCATCATTCCAATTAGAGTATTAAAGCGGATACTAGGTCCCGTCAAGTTGATCGCATAGAATATTTAAAATGATCGTTTGAATAGGATGTTGATGGATATTTTCTTAGGCATTTTTACATTTTTATACTTACCAATGTTATAGCTGCAGCCAATCTGTCCTTTTGGGCACAAACATGAAGAGCTGTCTTTCCAAATTCAGCTTGCTGGTTGATATCAACATTTGGATGTTGGCAGAGAGCCTAATACAGATCGATAAATCGAACTTCGTTTATTAAAGACATTGTCTTAGCTGACCTCATAATCTTTTGTATTACAATATAAAGATATCATTATTCAAATGAAAATTTAAACGAACAAATTTCCATATCCAAATAACAGACGCATAATAACACAATTGCTGTCTTCTTTGCATATGAAATGGCTTATAATCAACGTAAAGGTATTATTATTAAAATATGTACCTCAATGAAACTGATACCGTATTTAGTCCTGTTAACAGCGCAACATTTATTGAAAAGGCCTATTCTGATTTTCAACCCACAAACCAAAACGCTTTTCACTCTTTCTGACACTATATTTGGCTTAATCTCTATTGTATATAACACGGTGTTTTACAAACTTAAACTACCGTTATAGTTTTATGAGACCGCTACAAAGTACTATGAAGCCATTATGGATTCAAAATTCAAGATTTTTTTTTATTGTTGTGAAAGCCCTCCTGGGCTATTATCCACTCATTAACAACACCCCCCCCCCCCCCCCACCACCACTTTCACATCAATTTTAAATTAGTTTCACAGATCACTAAACTCAACTGCTTAATTCCCCACCTGAAGGATAACATACAAATTTTTAAACCTTGTACAGTACATACAGGGAGACTATAACGCTTGAGTTGAGCAACTTAACTGGTTATTCTCCCAGTGTTGATCCCAATCAGATTTATCTAATTTCGTTTTTTGCTGTATTTGTAAAATACGTACCTGCATCCGTTTCACTCCTGTATTTTGGCTGAAGAGTAATAGTCATCCCTTTAACCTCAACCTTGCTGTTTGCTGTAAGCAGTGCCTTCCATGGTATTGATACTGTTATACTTCCAATCACTCCATCACGAATCTCTACTGGGGCATTCGCATTGTTCAGTAGCTCATTTAACGCCTTAAAAACATTATAAAACGTGCATTCAGTGATTTACAACAAGATTTGTTAAACTTGTTAAAAATTTCTTTAAAATCCTTTAAAAATTCAAAACTGAATATCAAATTATATGAATGATACTAATATAATGATTCCTTAAAATTTAAGATTGGGAATGAATACAAAATTGGCTATGAATTAATGTTTTATCATTCTTGTTCTTTATCATTTATTTGTTCTTTGTATTTGTTTTATTTTCAAGTAATCTATGATTTTAATTCCTGAATAAAATGAAATGAATGAAAATGACTGATAATTACTTTAGTCTAGTCCTGTCTCTTATACACATCTAGATGTGTATAAGAGACAGTTACATAACAAAGTAACAATAACATTTAGAGAACGAAACAAAATAAATCATTTCATCTTATGTAAGCTAAACACAGACATTTTGATATTAAATTATATAAAACATTCTGAGTGTGTATTACCTGTCTCTTATACACATCTAGATGTGTATAAGAGACAGATGTTGATCCCATGCCTTGGTTAATATGAACAAGAAGAAAATACTTCAAAGCATAAATTGTTGTTACAGGTTTATTCCAAACGTTTCGCCGGTTAGGGCTTCATCAGTGGACTAGCATCGTATATTACAAAGCAACGTATATAAGACAAAGGCCTGTTACGGTGGAATGACTATGCATTGACTACTACGATTTGTCTTACACATCTGTATGTAAATCTCAATATAGTTGTAGGCGAACTATCAACATATATTATCATACATATTACTATATATGTATATGTGTAATATGTGGGTGTGGATATGTGTAAATATCCACACCAACACATACATATACATAAATATGTGAATACAGTTGTATATAATATTATTATACTCATTAAAGTCAATCAGGGGCGTAGCAGAAAGGGTATTAAAGTATTAGTCTAATACCCTAAAACATCCTTCCTGTTTCGATAGAATAGCGAAAACAGCGAAATTTACTATTATTATGTAGATTTTACAATATAGGTTACCTGGTTGGCGTTCTAGAATTACTGTACCCTATTAGCGTATTAGAATTACTGTACCCTATTCTTCAATAAACAAAATAATGAGGTACCCGTACCGGAAAAAATCATGTTAATTATTGTGAAAATAGAATGTAAGGTAATAATAAATACCAGAGGTATGAGACGTTAATGGTTATAAATTCAAATACATAATGTCCTTGTAACTGTATCGTGAGCCTTGAGCAAGATAGGACCTCAGTGCATGTACCTAATCGGTAAGCAATGCATTTCTGTTCTATAAAATTCATTATAAAATTAATCAATTAGATTTGAATATTGGCGTATTGGCATTCAGGTTGTATAAGGTAAGCCTAGGCTAGGTGCACAAAGAATTACTAGGTTAGATAGGCCAGGGCTTGTGAGATGTGGCGCAGTTGGACAATTTTAAAACACAGAATCGTTGCTATTGCTCTTTCTAGTTTATTAAATAAATAAGCTTTACATTGGCGGATCCTGTTTGCTAGAGGGGAGAGGGTGGGGTGGGGTGTGGAAAGACTATGCAGCAGTCAAATAAATCAGTACCCACGAGTGTGCCATGAATCATTTAGCTAAGAGACATAAATCGAGGGAACTGCTTCACGTTAGCCTGAAACACATGCATCTGTTCTGTCGTGGTACGGGACGCCACTACTAGTGGCTAAATGACTTTACTGGGGGAGTAATGCCTCACAAACCCACTTGGGCTTGGGAGATGTGGCGGATCCTGTTTGCTGGAGGGGAGAGGGTGTGGTGGGGTGTGGAAAGATTATGCAGCAGTCAAATAAATCAGTACCCGCGAGTGTGCCATGAATCATTTAGCTAAGAGACATAAATCGAGGGAACTACTTCACGTTAGCCTGGAAACACATGCACCTGTTCGAAACACATGCATCTGTTCTGTCGTGGTACGGGACGCCACTACTAGTGGCTAAATGACTTTACTGGGGGAGTAATGCCTCACAAACCCACTTGGGCTTGGGAGATGTGGCGGATCCTGTTTGCTGGAGGGGAGAGGGTGTGGTGGGGTGTGGAAAGACTATGCAGCAGTCAAATAAATCAGTACCCACGAGTGTGCCATGAATCATTTAGCTAAGAGACATAAATCGAGGGAACTGCTTCACGTTAGCCTGAAACACATGCATCTGTTCTGTCGTGGTACGGGACGCCACTACTAGTGGCTAAATGACTTTACTGGGGGAGTAATGCCTCACAAACCCACTTGGGCTTGGGAGATGTGGCGGATCCTGTTTGCTGGAGGGGAGAGGGTGTGGTGGGGTGTGGAAAGATTATGCAGCATTCAAATAAATCAGTACCCGCGAGTGTGCCATGAATCATTTAGCTAAGAGACATCAATCGAGGGAACTACTTCACGTTAGCCTGGAAACACATGCACCTGTTCTGTAGCAGTGTGACCACTAGGAAAAATCTAAGTTCCCAAGATTGAGTCTAAAATATCCCAAGATTGCTTTTAAAATCCCAATATTAGTATATATAAATACAACTTCATTTGAAATATATACTGTATTATATACTTTACATTATTGTATACTGTATAGGATACGAAACAGTGTCTGGATTTTAGAGACCAGAAACTCGCTTTGTGGGGTCGGTGGGGGGAGGGGGAGGAAGCGGAGGCAGATTCTAGGGTGTGTCTCAGTCTCTCTCTCAACAATTATTTTCTTAATACAATTTAGTTTGGTGGGGGGTGGGGGTGTGCGATCGCACCGTCTGTACCCCCTCTGCATCAGTCTCAGTGAAAATGACCCAATAAAGGATGAAACGTCGAATCATGGCCTCCCCATCATTATTCGGAGTGACATTCGTTCTATTTTATTAAAACTTAATCAGTGTATCTGTACAGTTGATTCTTGCTGTGTATATGAGAACCACTACTAATGCTGTCTAAGCCGTTGCTTATGGCTTTGTTAGGTCGTATCGTAAAGTAGTGATGTAATAAATTGTATAAAATGCTATCTGAAAATTAAACAGGGCGTACTTTATTAAAAATAATCTATTTCAATTTACTAGACGTAGAACTGTTTTAACCGTTATTATACCAAACAAAATGAATGTTAACTTTCGCACTTATTTACTTACATACTTTTTGCGTTTGTTATATTAAGCAAACCATATGAAACTATTCGAATATTTAGTACTAGATATTGTGAATATAACCAAATATCTGAAACAGGCCAATTATATTAGGAATAGTGAAACTCTAGATTAGAATAATAGACCTAGACATACTAAGATTGCCTATTCAACTCTGTTTTCAAAAATATAATTTTCAACCTAATATGATAACATTACGGCACAAAAGGCACAGTTGTTGCACAGGCTCTTATCGATAAAATGAGCTACTTGAATCATGTTTTACTGTAAATCAACACTAGAAAAAGGTAATTGATCATATCCCAAAGTCTTGGCTGTGGAAATGGTCAACAAACCAGTTATCTCGCATCTTTTTGTTATTTAATTCCTTTAAAAAGTATGCATAAACAACAGCTTTTACTCAAAATCATGTTTATCTTGACTCTATGACTGCTGTAAATTGCAATGTCCAATTTCAATGAATGACCATCATTTTAAAGTTGAAAATATCAAAATCTAGGTTTCCAGTCTTTGCTACAACTTGCCATTTCCACAAAACCTCTTACATGATCATTAGCCTAGTGTCAAATTTAGTTAAAACGACGTAAAAGGACTTTGATTGTGAGATTATTACTTCTTGCTATATATTTTATATTTATTTATTACTCAGACAGTATATTTATTATTTTTAAAGTTTAATTCTTGATAATGAAAATAACCTTGACTGGTTGATTGATTATATGAAAATGCACATTAAGACTGTTGTTACTGTTTAATAAGCTTGTAATTTTATCATTGTAATCAACATTTCTTGTAAAACCAAGATGAAATAATGAATAGAGAGCTTATGCTTAAAGCAAATTATTCCTCTTAGATTTTGCAAACAACCCATTATCCTGGATTAGAACTGTTTGATTGACAAATTCTAAGGGGATTGTTGTAAAAAATACAATAAGATTGAATAAATTACTATTAAATTATATAACTCCAAATTGGAAAGAAAATACCTTCGTATTTATGGTTTTAAATACGATTTAATACCAAACCAGAATGTTCATTTTATGTCAAGTGCTGACAAAAACTGCAGGAGTAGCCGAAATATTCATTTCAATATATTTTAGTGTTTCTCAAGTCAATATTTTACATATCTGAGTGTGTATTACCGTTAAGCAGTACTATATTCCAAATGTTTTGAAACACACGTGTGCACTATATGTCTTCTTTATATATGTACGGTATATATACTCACAGAGTCTTTTTCTTAACGTTCAAAAACGCACACACACACAGTGGCGTAGTCTTAAATTGGGGGTGGGGCGCGAAGGTGAAGTGGGTTGGGGGCTCGATAATCAGTTGAGTGGCACTAATTCGCAAAATATGGCGTCATTGAATGTGTTTCTTTTCACAATCCTGATCGCATTTAAGAAGCAGAGTTCTAGGGCTGTCTCTTATACACATCTAGATGTGTATAAGTTAATTGTTACATACCCTGATAGCATCTGTGTTGTCGAGGTCACATGCCAGGTGCAGAGGTGCCATCTGAAGATCATTTAATATACTTGCATTTTGTCCTTCACGTAGTAAAACATCAATCAAATGGATATGATTATTAATCACCGCCAAATGTAAAGGTGTGTTACCATTGTTATCTTGAACATTTATATCTTCTGGAAATGAAAATTTAGAGTGTGCATTATAATAATGATATATTAATTTCACTAGCGTTGCACTAGGATTGCCGTGGGTCCCCGGGGGACTAGCCAGAATAATGCGATGGATCCTGGAGTCTGGTGTAGAGTTCAATCATTCCTTAACTGTAACTTGATTAACTCTTCCAGAAAGTTTCATTCAAATTAGTAGATTTGTTTTTGAGATACCTGGTCTACAAACTTTCTCTCTAAATGGTTCTCATATCCACACACTACCTCGGATCCTCACTAAAATGTAAGTATGTCTTCCTTTACAATGACCAACCATTCAAAAGTTTCATTCAGATCCATTGATCATTTTTTTAGATATTCAGGTCTGGGAACTAAGCATTTTAAATTACCCCCAAAATGATACCAGAATCTGGATCGTTAACCAAAATCTAATGTCTTTTTGTTAAACTTGGTTAACTTCTCGAGAAAGTTTCATTCAGATTAGTAAATAAATTTTTGAGATATGTAGAGTAGGATGTTTTTCTGTAAATGGTCCCCATATCCACATCCCATTCCGGATTGTCATTAAAATAATATCAGAAATGATCTGCGTAAATGTGGCTAAAAAAAAGAAAAACATACAAAAACAAAAATTCAAAAAATCCGATAAAAATATCCGCAACGTCGACAACAATCTGAACATTGGGATGCACCCTGGGTACCTTTGGCAGTTCAATGCCACCCGCCATAACTACAACATCGACGTAACGGTTACATACGTGCGGATGCAAACATATTTCTTAACACGAGTGACTCTTCAATGTGAGGTTTATTCGTGGGGGCCGAGCGACCAGACTAGAGACCGCTTTGGGTCAAGAAGCCTATATTACCTCTCAGTCTATCGGTATTTGGAGACTATTTTTACGAAATAAGTCTACATTTTTTATTAAAAGGAACTTTTGTCTGGATTCGTATGCTTTGTTTTTAACATATGGAAATATAAAATCAAATCAAAGCTCATTTTTCCTTTTGAACATAAGACAATTAACAGGAAATTTACTTCTTGGTAAACAATATTGGGAAAGCGAACAAATTAAGAAAAGAAAAGGATCATAGTAAGCCAAAAATGGGAGAAAAAATAAAGGATTCTTGTAACGTATTAGTGATTATATAATGTAAGTAAATTCCGTGAAAATACATGACATTTCATTTAAAGTCATACAATATGGAAAGTAAAGTTATTATAGAAATGTAATACCAAAAAAAAACCTACCGTGTTTTAAAAGCATTTCTAAGACGTCCTTTTTTCCGTTAGCAGCCGCTGTATGAAGTAGAGTTGCTCCAGTATTATCTTTTGTTTTGAGTCTCTCCGGTGATGACATGTTGATTGATAAAAGTTCTGAAACATTACCTGTAGCTGCAATCTAAATGATTTTTAATCCATGTTATTATGTAGTTAAAGGTTCACCATAATCATACTCTAATATGTTTTTACTGCCACTGATTGAAATAGGAAGAGAATGTTTATCATTGTCGCAGTGTAATTTAGTCTTAATTACTTAAGAACATGCACTTATTAGTGATTACTCTGTGCTGTCATCCTTTGATATATTAATACCGCATGTGTGTGCGTTAGTCCGGTGTGTGTGTGTGTGGCTTTGTGTGTATGTAATTGTCCCCCGGCACATGACTCAAACACTGCTGGACTGATTTACTACAAATTTGTACTCATCACAATATCACGTGTATCTTAGTTCTCATCAACTTTGATTTTAGAATTTTTTAAATATTTTCCAGCCGCATATCGCACAATTTAGCTGTCCCAATTTTACTTCGAATTAGGTCTGCAAATGACATGTAAGTAATAATAAAATACAGTATGAGAAAATAAGTAGGGGCCTATTCTATAAATACAATTTAGTTAAAGAAATTTAGAAGAAGGAAATTTAAAAAAAAAACAACAGAGAGGTTTGAGCGGGCCTAACACAGTTGAGTAACTGTCCACATAACACTTTTACAGCTCGGGTACACAATTGACGCTTTCGTAAAACCTACCGTGCCAGCCATGAACCACTGTGCCCAAAATTATGTAGTTTCTACGAATGCGCTAGAATTTTTCGTCATCTTTAAAGGTAATTGAGTTTGTGAAATAAGAACATGAATTAAGGGGTTTTCAATTTTTGGAGAATTCTATAAAATATGCACACAAAAAAACAGGAAACACAAAGTTTAAAAGAAATAATGAAAAACTTCAGAAGATTATCAATGCACGACTAGGCCCACTAATAGTAGTTAGTAGCTATAGTGGGCCTAGGTGGAGCTAGCCTGGCCTAGGCCTACTCTAGCTAGTACTACAGGGACTATGCAGCTCTTGCTGGGCCTAGCTAGTACACTATAGAGACCGGCCTAGTAATTGGCTGGTCTAGCTAGGCCGCATGAAACGGTATCTGATCTTTGGCTGCCGGAGTCATATCTAGTGGTATTAAAAATAAAAATTTAAAAAAAAGGCTTAGGCTAGCATAGCAACTTTTGTGGTCATAAGACCCGGTTACAATTAAAGTAAGATGTCTAGGCTAGCCTTATGTAATGTTATAATATTAGACTAAATTAAATCGTGAAAAGGAAGAGCGCTGCTGTTTTTCGATACTCTCATGGAGTTTTAGGAATTTTCACTTAGTTTACATTTGTGGTAGATAGTGGGTTTAATTTTTTTTTTTTTTTATGTATTTTATGGGATTTGAGTTGTCATAGCGAAAAAAACAAAATCCATCTACACTCCATGGAGGAATACTCGTCATTGAATGTGTTTCTTTTCACAATCCCGATCGCATTTACGAAGCAGAGTTCTAGGGCATGTGTAGAAAGTACATACTTTTCGGCACATGGCTCGGGATTGGCACAGCGGTTTAAGAAAGAGCCAAAAGCCTATTAAAGAACATTCGGAAGAGTGCCTCGCATTCCATGTCGCATAACTGGATGCCAAAGCTAATTCACTAAGTTGCTTTTTTTTAAACTGTTTTGACATTTCTAGTAGGCCTATTCAATTTCATAATTTAGTCTATTTTCATTATTATTTGTTATCAGTCCTCTTGATGCTATTTCGAGGCACAAACATCGACAAGAAAAGTCGGTGTTGTTAAGATCATAACAGATATTTGAATACTTTTCACTTTTATACTCGTGGGCTTTTTCGATATTTGCCTCTACAATAATATCAATTAACTTAGCTGTTCCATTAATAATGACGATATCTGGCTTTAAGTTAGTGAATAATAATATACTTGGGGGAATCGTTCCCCCTGCAGTAGTTAAGTAAAATAACAACTAATGTCTGCAAAAAACCCGAATATTTTTTCTAAAACAAATTTTAGTAGGCCTAGATTTCTTAAAATACAGTTATGGCGCCATGTAAAACGACCTTAATCTAATGCTATATTACAAGCATTTAATACGTCGTGAATTAGGCTAAAGATATATATAGTAGTACATTCAAATAATATTATGTGTATATGTATCAAAGCAGATCATATTTCAAGTAAATTTATATTTGGAAAAGGCTACAATGTACATAAATACCATTATTTTTTTCAGTACATTGATATGGTGCAACAAGACAAGTTTCTGTAATCTCATATTTATCTTGTTTAATTTTTTAGAATATTTAACCTATAATTTCTATAGTTAGTTTTCAAGTTTGTTGTTAGTCATTACTGTTTATTTCTATCTTGGATCCCATTAAAATGAGCCAGTATTTTTTGGCTTTAAGGACTATCTTGATACTTTATTCATTCTGGTTTTCTTTTAGGTTTTGTTACTCTTTTTCCAATTCGTTTTCCAATTTTAATTCAATTCAATTCTTGTTTTCTCATATCACTTTAAACCGTCTAATTATACCAGAAAGAAATACATAGAAGCTATTATGCTGAAACCATGACACAGATATAATTGAACTATTCAAGACCTTTTCATTCCATTGTCTCCGTGAATGTCAATGATCGATACCCTCTCACTTGCATCTAATGTAAACCTAACGATCTGCATAACTGTTCTCATTATAACAGCTTCAATCTTCTAAAATTCGAACATTGTTTAATATTCAGTCAATATCTTTGCATCAGACAAATAATTCTAGGTAGCTGATGTTAACAACCTTACAGCTTACTCTCATGACAAGTTACCCTCTTATGTTCATTCTTAGCATCAGTGAAAGTAACTTCCATACTCCTAAGTCCATCACAGATTGCGTCCACTAAAATCAAATGTATTGGATATACATGTTAAAACAGTGGCACACATTTTTATGGTAGTGCATCCTTTAGGGATAAAACAGCTATAAATTCGAAAACTTAATATCCATCTAAAACAAAACACACCGTTGCCTCCTTAGTATTAGTCAATAATTAACCGCTTAATCCTTAATCAATACCATGTTCATAGCATCAGTGAAAGTAACTTCCATACTCCTAAGTCCATCACAGATTGCGTCCACTAAAATCAAATGTATTGGATATACATGTTAGAACAGTGGCACACATTTTTATGGTAGTGCATCCTTTAGGGATAAATCAGCTATAAATTCGAAAACTTAATATCCATCTAAAACAAAACACACCGTTGCCTCCTTAGTATTAGTCAATAATTAACCGCTTAATCCTTAATCAATACCATGTTCATCTCGCCGAATCTGGTTATCCACTACTCCTGTTAATACAAAGTGCGACATGACATCAACTTTAAAGTGTATTTCCAACACCAACTCTTGTACTATGGATCATTCTGGACGCACCATTTCTCTCGCGTGTGATGCGGCATATAATTAACACATATTTACCAATCATCCCGCATCGTGCGGGACGGTCATGCATTTCAAAGTGATTTTGGATGAAACCCGTATTTTGCACAAACACGTCACATGAGTGATCGTAAATTTGTCACGCATTTAGCACAAGTCTATGCGTGATAACCAATTATCACGAATTCAGGGGGAAAGGTATTTCAAGTTAGAAATACTTAATTTACTGACGGGTTACTAAAAATTGATTAGTATGCCTATTCATTTGCTGTTTGTTTGAGCATGGTTTGAGTAATGGAATGCTTGTGTACATAGTTCGGGTACTCAAATTAAACATACATTGAAACCCAAATTGTACGTGGCTTTAATAAAAAAAAAAAACATTTTTGTTTATGTACCCGTTATTGTCAACAAACATTTGAACTCGTTTTATACAAGCTAAAATGCTCAGATCGTCGGAGCCTCGCTCCAATGTTGAATAAAAGAATAAATGACACCACATAGCGCTATAAAACGATAAAATGTTTCTCACTAATTAAACCTGCGCATACAATTAGTTCGGCTTTACTCTCCTGTACCCTGCCCACCATATATTAGCGAAACCAAGAAGGCAGCCGGCCTAGAGCTCCCAAGTAAAATGTTCAAAGTTATAAAACAAATAGAGAAAAAAAAGTTATATTCAAATATAAGTTTTTGGTAATATACATTTTTTTAAGTGTTTCTTTTGGAATATTAAGTTTACCGGGAATTAATGTGCAAAAAGTTGGCTTTTTCAAATGTTTTTTATACGTTAATTTATGCTTCAAAAATAAATATTATATTCCAATATGTTGTAAACATACATTACTTATATATATATACTTATATATATATATGAAATATATATATTGTATATATATTATATATAATATATATATATATAATTAGTACATTTGTTTAACTCAACAAATGATCTAGAATCTAGAATTAATACATTAGCTTTTGATAAAAAATGAAACGATAAAATTTTCCTCACTTATTAAAATACGCAAAATAATTCGTTGATGTTTGATTAATTTTATACTAAAGTAAATTCCGTAGCTTATTAACTTAGCATGCCTTTTGTCATTTTTATTTTGTTAATATTTTTTTTTACAGATAAACAATGTTTTTTTTTTCAATTGTGCAGTGACAGATTTAAGTCGGCCCATCACCCACCCACCCCACCTTTTTTTTACAAAATAAAAAAAAAAAATCATATTGAAATTTTAAGTCAAAGAGTGGTATTTCCATGCCATAATCATAAATTTAATGTTGCATCTCCAATCTTTATTATATTCAATATGTCAGTTTGCAACGTTCTTGCAATAACCAACTTTTTACAGGTATTTTCTAAATTGCTTGATCTGTATTTATAGGCCTGTTACTTTTTTTTGTTATTTGTGTAATATATTGTAAGTTTGCAATACAACACTAAATATATGTTCAATTTGTATCCATATGTGTATTTAACCCATTACTTATGTACCTGGATATAAACTTCGATTGTATCACGATTGTTGTATTGTCGACAATTCTTGATTCCTTGATTCCATCTGTGGAAGTCCCTCCCTGAGTTCCCTCTATATCAAATTTCTGGATTTGATATAGAGGGACAAGCTTTATATTTATTAATATTTCCGACTATATTTTTCTTTCTGATTGTGTAGATGAACCAATCATTCTAATAATATTTGAAAAGCTCATATTTCTGTCGCAATCATACTTCGATTCGTTTTTGTTGACTTTTGTCAAATAAAAGCAACTTTAAAAAGTGATTTAATCATCCAGACTCCCAGAGGTACAAAATACTGCAAATTGTTGACGTGGTCCGGACTCTCCTTTAGCAACCTCTTCCTCAAATCCTGGATACGCCACACCTCTTGTTAATAATGTCACAGTAGGGCCGCTATAGTTGTTTCTATTAACGGAACAATTTTCCTACTAAAAAGTACCGTACTAAAAATTGGCCAGAAAAAATGTTTAAATTTTTTAGCAGTGTTCAACAGGCCGGATCAACATCTTTGGTGGACCAGAGTTTGCCCGCGGGCCGGGGGTTGAATTTTGTACCACAAAAATACAATCACAATCAGATGCGAGCTTGTTTCTACTATCTAGCAATTATAGCAAGATCTTACCTACAGTCGGTTTATTACAGTATGTATTACAGCTTTGAATGCTTATCCACGGTATGATCACAAAATTGCTCTTCTCATTGAGTTCAGTATCAACACAATGGGAAATCGAAGAGTACAATAAATTAAAATTATTGCCAATTTCAGTCTCCAATCAGGATGTTTTTAAGTGTGCTTCTATACTTGACATAAATAAGTAGTTGGAAATTTTCTTTCATGCTTGTATCACACACTCAGCGAGTGCATATAAACACGGTATAGCCATAAAGATTTGTTCATTGACGTAAAGCAATCAATTTAATTTCTTTCTTCAAATGTTGAATAATAACTATAATGTAATGATAGGAATATTAACAAAACCCATTAAATTATTGCTTTTTCAAAAATCTTTTGATTTGATGTCATTTGGCACATATATATATATATACAATAAAATACATAACAATCGATGGCATATTAAATGCAAAAATAGGCCTAGGTTTTGTTTAACGCTCTGAAGTTTTCATTAGCGCATCCACCTTTTCAACATTACTGTTTTAAGAGTGACAGAAAATGGATGTGGACCGATAGAGATAAGAATGGGGGATGATTCAATGGTTTAAACTGGTGTTCATAGTCATATTTTCTTCAACATCGGCAGTGGAGGTCAGGGAAAGGAGTTGCTATCTAAAAACTGATTTATTAAGTATTCACAAATACTGCCGGGTTCCAGCTGGATAGTTGTCACCCGGTATTTTTACCATTGACTCGGCCTGTTGCCATTCGCCTGTTGCCGCCCGACCTTTTGCCACCAGGCCTTTTGCTACTCTAGGCCAGATTATTGATGCTGGATGTAAACAGCTTTGTCAATAAGGTTTTGCTGTTTATTCACAATCATCACCCACTATACAATACATATTCTGACACACCAACATATTCCATCTTCACCACCTTACTTATCCCGCTGCCGGAACAATTGCCACCTCTGCTTCCCTCATAGACCATTTGTATTAGCCTTTTCACATCTAGTCTAGTTATTCTTGAGTTTTATACCAATCAGCAGCCAGTCTCGCTTTCCAATCATATAAGTATTTCTATGTTTATGACGATTGAAGCAACTCAAACTAAAACTCAAACAAAACGTCTAGGCATTCTCAACAAAAACAACAGTTCTTTTAAGAACTATCTACGTGGAGTAAGGCAAGCATTCATTACCGTATATTATTACTTCACCATGCACACCGTCATACTATATATATAATCAAATGGATAAATAATACCAACAGTACTGACTTCATATCCATCTGTTTATATTGTGTTTACGGTGTTACGCAGCAATCATAATTTGATTTGATATAGAGGGACAAGATTTATATTTATTAAATATTTCTGACTATACTTTTCTTTATAATTGTGTAGATGAACCAATCATTCTGGATATTTGATGATTACACCACACCCATCATTCTAATAATATTTGAAAAGCTCATATTTCTGTCGCAATCATACTTCGATTCGTTTTTGTTGACTTTTGTCAAATAAAAGCAACTTTAAAAAGTGATTTAAGCATCCAGACTCCCAGAGGTACAAAATACTGCAAATTGTTGACGTCGTCCGGACTCTCCTTTAGCAACCTCTTCCTCAAATCCTGGATACGCCACACCTCTTGTTAATAATGTCACAGTAGGGCCGCTATAGTTGTTTCTATTAACGGAACAATTTTCCTACTAAAAAGTACCGTACTAAAAATTGGCCAGAAAAAATGTTTAAATTTTTTAGCAGTGTTCAACAGGCCGGATCAACATCTTTGGTGGACCAGAGTTTGCCCGCGGGCCGGGGGTTGAATTTTGTACCACAAAAATACAATCACAATCAGATGCGAGCTTGTTTCTACTATCTAGCAATTATAGCAAGATCTTACCTACAGTCGGTTTATTACAGTATGTATTACAGCTTTGAATGCTTATCCACGGTATGATCACAAAATTGCTCTTCTCATTGAGTTCAGTATCAACACAATGGGAAATCGAAGAGTACAATAAATTAAAATTATTGCCAATTTCAGTCTCCAATCAGGATGTTTTTAAGTGTGCTTCTATACTTGACATAAATAAGTAGTTGGAAATTTTCTTTCATGCTTGTATCACACACTCAGCGAGTGCATATAAACACGGTATAGCCATAAAGATTTGTTCATTGACGTAAAGCAATCAATTTAATTTCTTTCTTCAAATGTTGAATAATAACTATAATGTAATGATAGGAATATTAACAAAACCCATTAAATTATTGCTTTTTCAAAAATCTTTTGATTTGATGTCATTTGGCACATATATATATATATACAATAAAATACATAACAATCGATGCCTTATTAAATGCAAAAATAGGCCTAGGTTTTGTTTAACGCTCTGGAGGTTTCATTAGCGCATCCACCTTTTCAACATTACTGTTTTAAGAATGACAGAAAATGGATGTGGACCGATAGAGATAACAATGGGTGATGATTCAATGGTTTAAACTGGTGTTCATAGTCATATTTTCTTTAACATCGGCAGTGGAGGTCAGGGAAAGGAGTTGCTATCTAAAAACTGATTTATCAAGTATTCACAAATACTGTCGGGTTCCACCTGGATAGTTGTCACCCGGCCTTTTTACCATTGACTCGGCCTGTTGCCATTCGCCTGTTGCCGCCCGACCTTTTGCCACCAGGCCTTTTGCTACTCTAGGCCAGATTATTGATGCTTTGGATGTAAACAGCTTTGTCAATAAGGTTTTGCTGTTTATTCACAATCATCA